AGTGTCCGTGCCAATCTAGACGCTCTTTTCCGAAAATGCTTTTAACGGAAAACTTTTCCATTAAAAGCATTTCCGGAAAATCATGCCAGTCTAGACGTAGCCACTGTGTGTGAGTGAATGAGTGTGCAATTTTATTTTGGAAGACAATTTTTTCTACCTTGCTTGGCACCTAGGATACTTAAAAAGTTCATATAGTCTTCCAGTCTCCTTCAATCACATTAGAGAGTATTGATTTACCTTTCATATTTATAGTAGTTTTCAGAAATAAAACTACATAAAAGGTAAATCAATACTGCCTAATGCAATTGTGTGATAAAGTCTGATAAGCAGCCACTTATTACAGTGCTGTGTGTTGGAATGATGCCAAATCGGAGACACATGGGATCTGATTTTTCCTGGAATTACGTAGCATTCTTTGACTATGTCTAGACTACAGGGTTTTTTCGAAAAAACTTCACCTGCGTCTAGACTGCCGCTGTGTTCTTTCGAAATTAAATTGAAAGAACGCGGTGGTTTTTTCGACAGCGGTAAACCTCATTTTACGAGGAAGAACGCCTTTTTTTTCAAAAGAGCGCTTTCGAAAAAAGGCATTCTTGACCACAAACAGGGCTTTTTTGAAAGAGAACATCTAGATTGTCTGGGTGCTCTCTTTCGAAAAAGCAAATCGCTTTTTCGAAAAAGTTGTGGCTGTCTAGATGATCTCTTTTGAAAGAAGCATGTAGTCTACACGTACCCTTTATGTTCAGAGCAGAGTTACCACTGACTTGAGTGGAAGCTGCAACTGCTATGCAATTCTGCAGATCAGACCCCAGGATTTTAAGCAGGTCATCCAGAAAACAAGGACCATTTAATTAGTGACCCCTTCTGAAAAGTTTGGTTTAACTGACTTGTTCATCATCACATAGGAATTTTGCACTCTAGGACACAGACTCTATTGCCATTTCTCCCCAGTCTTGACCCATGTCCTGTCACCATCCCAGTCCTGCAACTTCCCATCCCTGGGTCCTCATTCCTGTCCTGTTTTCCTTAACTAGCAGTTTCCAGCCATGCTCCACACAGGCTTCTCATCCCAGTCCCCTGCCCTAGTCTAACCTAACCCATTTCCATTCTTCTTTCTAAGCCAGTCCCAGTAATGCCCATCCCAGCGCGCTTCCTCTTTACCCAGATATTATCCCCCTCCTATTCTGCAATGTGACTTGTCCTTTTCATATTTGTTCATTTTTTTTAATTGTATCCTTTGGTATATATGGTTGTGACTACTTTCTTCCACTATTTGATCTGAGGAAGTCGGTCTGGCCCACGAAAGCTCATCATCTAATAAACCATCTTGTTAGTCTTTAAAGTGCTACATAGTCCTGCATTTTGCTTCCTCTTTACCCAGATATTCCTCATTCCAGACCAGCAGCATTCTAAATTATGGCATCATGCAGATAACCAAGTAACAGATTAGACTGAGCTTTAAACTGATGTTGGTAGGGAAGCTGAAGGAAAAGTTTTATTTGTCTGCAGTGAGAAAGTGGTCCAGAAGGGACTGTTTTTAGGAAACCTGGAACTCAAGAGGAAGAGCTCCCTGTGCCTCTATACCAGTGGTCTCCAACCTTTTTACACCCAAGATCACTTTTTAAATCTCAGAACAGGCGAAGATCTACCACCCCGCCCCTTCCTTTAAGGCCGGCCTTCTCTATTCTCCTCCTCTCCCTCACTTGCTATCCCCAGCCCTTACTTACACACACTGATAAACAGTTTATTTTTAAATTATGCGATATATAAAATTAAAATCACGTGTTTATAGTTATGAAATAAATGGTCTGTTTTTTATTCATGCTATTTAAATCTAAAATGAAGCATTTATAATTATACATTTTGTGGGGACAGTTCTGTGGCTGGGGGCAGGGGAGAAGGAACAGGGTGCTGGGAGGGCAGAGGACAGGGTTCTGCAGCTGGGGACAGGGGGGCCGG